GTGCCTGCAACCAAAAGGCCCGAAAGTTTAGGGGCTCCACAGTCATCCTACAACTCTTAAGAATATTGTATTTCTTTCACGAAAACTACGAACGTGAGAATTGGGGTTATTAAAGATCTGAGTCCTAGACTGTCTTGATTTAGCTCTGCTTCACTTTCTCTACACTCGTCTTCTACAATGAATTTCTCGACAGTGAATGTCTCTACATTGGTGCTAGAACTTATGGTTTGTTTTGTTTGATTATGGCAAAGCACTCGAGGGCTATATTCCTGAAAGGAGAGATGCCTTCATGGGGAACGTTTTAAGTGAAACTGGCTCATATAAACGTTACACATGGGTAAAACTGCAAAAACGCCCATGCAACCAGCCCGTTCGCGGGATTCGAACCACGTACCGAACTACCAGTGTTCAGCGACTTTACCGCTCGGCCGTTTGTGGGCTGCTGTTAGAAGACGACTTCAAAGTTAAGAAATAAAGAACAGTAAATGAAGGCAAAAATATAAAAAAAGAAAACCAATTAAATAATTTATAATATAGATAAATACATAAAGTAATTACAGCTCGTTCTAAAATTTATGCTATTCCACACAGGCATTTTGATGTAACCTTATGCAGATGGAAGAACATTAACTTAAGGTTTTATTCTTATACTGGATCTAAAGAAATATTTTTTTCTTCTCTTATTCACCTAAGACCATATAAACGAAGCACTTAGTGAACTACTTTCAGATGAGTTGAAATCTAATTTTAAATATTTCTCGCAGCGGAATGAAGAAAAAGATACTTTAATCCCTTTAGGGTATTTTTAACGAAGCGCAATAGTGCCTAATTATCTTAATGAACATTATTAAATTTAGTCAGTCGGAAGTTTGGAGCATTCGCTTTTCGCATGAATAATCCAGCATCGCAGCTCAATAACTAACAGACACGGCTAATAAGAAATTAAAGAGTAGGTGGAAAACAATTTAAGCTATAGGTTCCTTTTGTCAGCATACATCAGGCTCGAAAGTGCAGAAGAAGGAAACATTATGTTTTATTAAACCAGGAAGGAAAGAAGCACATTCTATTCCTTACGTTTTTCTAATATTTAAGGACTTAGTTAAACTGAAGTAACTACTACGTCAAGTATTACGACGCACTAATCAATTTGAAAAATGAAAACACACACACATACACAAAAGAAAAGGTGTGAGGGCTGAAATTAATGTAAATATTAGTTTCGAATATTTGTTTCTTATTTACAAGCATCGTTATCAGTAAATTTAATAATAACTTTTTGAAACCTATAAAAATTGTATTTAGCGAATTAACTAGTTGAAGAATGGAGATACAAAATACGTGCTACTTAAAAAGATACTTCAGCACTCTGAAACTTCATAATAAAAATACAAAAACAAATTCATTGGGGAAAAAAATTTTAAGTTCTAGTCGGAAATGAAAGATTAAACAAAGCTATTATTAGCATTATTCTTTCACCAGTATATTTAATGTGCAGTTTAACAAAATAAATTCTTAGGAAATAAAGATAACTAAGATTATTGGTATTAAATTTGCACTTAATGAAAGAATAAATTGCATGAATCGCTCCTAAATTCTTCTTTGCTAAACATATATATGTGATTGAAATCATCGTATAATTTTTAAGGACGGAATTCTAAATGCAGAAAAAAAAATGCATCACTTCCGGTTATTTCTTTCAAACGAATATGGTGAGCAGATATACATTTCTTTCCATGGATTTGGCATTTTTAAATCATATTGTCGCAGTAATTATTATGCCGTTATAGAAACTTTTATGTGAACAAACATTTAGCTGATCTAAGTTAAGCAACAAAAATTTTTAATTTTTATTGACAGAAGAGGGAATGCCTTATCTTTTTAAATAAGAAATTCCTTTTTCCTTTCAATCATTCTCATTCGTCCATTCTTTTAAGTCCTTTTTTGTCTTAGTCTTCATTTTTGTTCCACTTACGAAAGTTATTTTCAATTCTTATTGCTCTGAAGCTTTATTTTTACACATTGATATTGCAATATTAAAAGGAGATATATCTTCAAAGAAACTAATTTAAAACCCTCACTGTTCTTTTTTCTTAAAAACTATAAAATGTTAAGAGTTCTCCTTAATCTCAAATAACGCTAAAGCTTCAATTATTTGTAGTAGCTAAAAATCTACAATAATATTCTGTCAATTCCTCAGTTTTAAATGGCATAAAAGTTTTTATATTTCTTAATATTATTTAATTGGCACCAAGATAATCCGTAGAGTGACAGCGCACAACGTCACCATACGCCCGACAGACCTAATCATGGTCACTTTCAGTTCATCCTATCGCGAAAAATGTTCTAATGAATGCACATGCTCTCGTTGTATTTCTATCGTATTTTATTTTTCCCCAAAAAATTCCTACAGTTTTCGATTTACGTAGAGGTGCTAAGCACTGCCGGTCGTTTGTGATATGCGTTGGAAATTTATCGATAGTCTTGGTGCCAATTAAATAAAAGATGCAAAAAATAATAAAGGAAGTACAAAGCATTGTGAATATTTTAGCCACTATGTCAATAGACATAACCTGTCGTAGAAAGCTTTAAATCCCTCTTACAGTGAAGAAATTTAAATTCCTGTTGTCAAACATAAATATAATTTAGTAAAATACCATAAACTTCTGATTTACAGAAGAGATATTTTCATTAAAAAATTAATTACTTAAATTTTAAGAAGCAATCAGTTTGGAAACAATACGTCGTAATGCTATTTCGAGCATGGACCTTATAAGAAATAGACTAACCCAATTGCGTTTTCTCCCTTGTCTGGCGCGTTCCCGGCTGTCACCTTGATCACATCCGGAGGAGTAGGGACGACTTCCAGAAATTAGCAATGGTTGGCTATTGCAGCGCGTACAATTGTCACGAAAAAGCTGGTGGTAGTGCCTCATTTCACAAGTAAGAACTTTTAAATATTTTTATTTTTGACACTGAGATTGCTTTTTAAATACTTAGCATGTTTTCAAGCATAATTAACGTTCTAAATAATTATGCATGCTTTCAGGCTTGTATATATTTTTAGCTTTTCCTATGATGTAAGCGAATTTGTAACTTCTTCTTTTAAAATAATAGTTTAAATCTGAACTAACAGAAAAAATTCAACCAAGTAATTTCTCTTACAATTACTAAAACTATAACTAATACTAACTAAACGATACTAAATCCTAAAATGAAAATTTTTTGAAAGTTTTTCTTTAAATTCATAATTTTTGCTGCTTTTTTAAATTACAGGTAAATTTTAATTCCTAGCATTATAACTAATCAAAAATAAGAATATTAAGAACGAAAAGTATACATCTTATATAGCTGGTTTTGTTGTTAAAAGCTTAGCTTATAAAGTAAAATGTAATATCTGTTTCTCTCAGCTTTAGTTTCAACAGAACCATATGATGGTTTTCTAGGTTTCAAATATTATAAATCTGGATGTAAAGGTTTGACTTCTCCTCCAGTGACGTCCGAATGATCTGCAAAAATGCAGAAATAATTTTTAGGCAGACTGAAAAGGAGTTTTAAATTGAATAAAAAAATATTATAAATTTCATGACTCTAAAAGTCTTAAAAAGCGTAGGAACACATATATTTCCTTCTCTTCAAGACCATATTATGATGATGAGCCAGATAAAAACCACCTGATTAAATTAATTAAAGCAGTGATACGAGTATTTCAATATTTAAAAATCAGAATGCATCATGCAGTTGCATGTTACAATGAATCTAAACAGAGAGAAAATATTCGAAGCAGATTTACTAAATTAATTTATTTAAGCATCAATAAATCATATTATCTGTTTCTCTTCCTCTCTCTCTCTCTCTAAATATATATATATATAGGTGTGTGTATTTACATTAATAGATAAATAGATGTAATCTTGTTTTCACAAATATTTGAAATAAAAAGTGAAGTAAGCGAATTTTTCAATGCAACAAATATCCTAAATTGTTTACGTTCATACATATGTATTTATGGATGTATAGTCATTCTGCTGTATTTACAGGTATATAAAATTACAAGGTTACTTTAGGCGCATTAAAAAAAATTTAAGATTGGACATATAATATCTTGTATTTTATAGTAATTATTTTTTTTAATTTATTCTAGTCCCGCATAGATTTTTTTTATTTACTGCGGATTTTTTTTTTAATTTTTCCTTACACTCAGAAAAGTTTATGCTCCGAATTTTAGAGTTATTAATATTGTCATAAATGATCATCTTTTAATACCATAATAATTTTGAAAACAGAAAAAAATAATAAAACAATCCTTGGTTTCTATAAACATTTGAAATGATAAATATTTGCTACTACTGCCTGAAAATGTTCATAAAATTAAAAAAAAAAAAAAAAATTACCAAATCTTGTTTAATTTTACCTATTTGTTTCATAGCATCATGTAGCATTTGTAGGCAAAGTAAATTCATAAATTTTTTGTTAGAGTTTTTTTTCCGTTTTATCAAGTAATGATGTTTAGACAAGAATTACGCTTATGCTCAAAATGCAGTAAAAAAAAAAAAAAAAAAAAAAAAAAATACTCAAAATGCACTAAAAGTGGTTTCATGAGATAATATAAAATCTTATTAGCAAAACTGTGATTTTTATTACCTCATCATTTAATAAACGTATCACATTAATTAAAGAGTTATGTGATACAAACGCCATATGTTTCAATGTTACGATAAACTAAATCGTCTCTACTCTCTCTTCCCGACATGTCTTCCCGCACGCCCCGCCCACTGGGTTAGTCTATTTCTTATAAGGTCCATGATTTCGAGATATATTTCAAGTCATTGTATTTGTAAGAGAGAAATAGATTTTTTGCGCAGTATCTCAGCAAAAGAATAAAATAATCATGGGTAAGTATATAAATGCTTTACAATGAATTACAACAAAGAAAGTAAATAATATTTTGCATCACATATATGTACAGTTTTAAGAAAAAATACAAATTTTATTAAACTTACCTTGGTCGGTAAAGCCTAGTGATGAGATATGTCTTAGTATCTGCAAAAGAAAATAAAACTTCTTTTAAAATGCATTATTCATTATTTAATTTTTGTTTAGAGCAACTCAAATCTTTTTAAAAGAATAAAATACTCATACTAAATATCCTAAAATGAGGATTCTGGACGCAAGCAGGAAAAAACCAATTATGAGAGACCTTAACTTAAAGACGAAATTACCTTCAAATACCTTAAATGAATATCAGTACAGATGCGCCCGAGTTCGAATTCCGGAGAAGGCATGGATGTAAATTGTCTCTCTCTTCATGAGAGACAATGGTGGCCATATATTATAAGCCTTCATAATAAAATGAACATCGCTCTGGCCTAGTAGTGGGCAAAGCCTAAATCTTATAAACATTTGTAATTTGGTTTCACATTTTATCTAACCTTCAGACACCCGCAGCAAAATACTAGTGTATTTAATAACCATCACAGGATTTTTTAATCATCACTAAAACAAAATTCTTTATTTTAAATCTTGAGCAGAGCTATATTTTCAGAGGAATAAAAGAAGGTTTTAATATATCGCTTTCAATGCGTCTCTACGTAGTCACTTAAGAATTTGCATCAACACGAAATTGCCGATACCAGTCGTGATTGTAGGTTGCGCAAGCTTAGATGTTTCAATAAGGAAAAATTCATTCATTTTATGTAACGTTCTAAACAGGAGGCGAAAAAAACTACTATCACATGTAAAATACTCAGAACAACTGCCAGAGCAGGAATGGACAGTACTTCAGAAAAATCATGTCAGTACATGTGTTATTCATGTGTTACTTTTTGTCTATGATTGGTTAAACTTATTACATTTCATTTTCCCATAGGAGTGATGAGTAGAAATACCACTTGGCGCGGAATTGACATAAGCGAAAGTATCCCATCACTTTTACGTTCTTGCTCAGTATTCCTTTCAATTCGTTTTAAGAGAAGATACTTCAGTTTAAGTCCATATATAGTGAAAGAATAATTTAATGCTTTTACTGTTCACCAAGTTTCGGTTCTGAAGAAACTTGAAATTTTATTGCTAACTAAAATATGGCCTCAATTTCTTGCAAAATATATTGTAAAGACGAAGGAATCCAAAATTTCCATTTCTAGATGACTTTCCAAGAGAGATCTATTGCAATCGAACTTCAGTCTTGATAAGTTTAAAAAATAACGCTAATCGCGAGGAAATATCCCAGTTGGTTATCTTTCCTTCCATTTCATTCCTTTGGGGTTGAGCTGGATTCGCAGGAAGCCTTCGGTAGACATAAAGTAGTGCATTTCAACCATTCTTTTCGAAAGCAAATAGGTATACTTGAGGAGGAACACGCCTTAGTGTAATTCGATTCTCGCAAATTTGATTTGAGAGCAACTTGGATATGCCGTGACGGATCAGGTCACAGATACAACCGATAGCGTTAAGGAGAATATATTTTATTTAAAATACGTGAATGCGGACAGAAAGAATCTCGAGAGAGCTCATTCACTGCTACTCGAAGATTCAGAAAGCTAACAAATAATATCACGTTAAAATGTATAAAGTCAACCAAACTAAAGGAAAATTTAAAATTTCAAAAGTTTAAATAAAAACTATAAAAAATAAAAATAAACCCGAAACTTTTAAATTTATTTTTGCTTTTTCTTTAATAATTATATAAAATATTTTAGTAGATCAATAAAACACCATTCTAGAACTATACAATTCTTAGGGGCCCACCAGCGGCCGAGTGGTAAAATCTCTAAACACTGGTAGTTCGGTCCGAGGTTCGAATCCCGCGAACGGGCTGGCTGCATGGGCGTTTTCGTGGTTTTCCCCATGTGTAACGTGTATACGAGCCAGTTTCCCTTAGAAAGTCCTCCACGAAATCATCCCTCCCCTTAGGCAGATAGCCCTAGTGTGCTTTGCCGTATTCTCAATACACACACACACCATTCCTACGAACATCATTTCAGAATTATTGTCTTAGATTAAATATAAAAACGTATTAGCCTTCGCTTTGACATTACGGTAAAATGCAGCTTGAAAAGAAATAATTTTTATGCAAAGAAAAAGCTGTTCTCTTAATGGAGAACTGGAACATTTTTAAGCGTCTAACAGCAAAAAAACAAAACAACCCATAACCATAAAAATTTAGCGACAACAATTTAATAAAAACTTTCCATCATTTCAAGAAAATTTCTGGAAAGTCAAACGGAAGAATAGCAGTTTTCCATTCAACGCCGTAATGCGCATCGCATAAGAATGTAAAGGCGCTCATATTTTTTTCAGCAATCACAGCCAATATATTTTGAATGCACACCTTTTCTTATTTACCAGCTAGATAGCTCAGTGCATATAGAGATTAAATTTGTATTAAAGTTAAGAGCATATATGCATATTATTCACTGCAGGTTCTCTGAAATCTTTCTCGTTAACAAATTCTTTTTAATAAATGGAAATTTCCGTTATTCCGTACATTTAGTGTAGACGTAATTTTCAAAAATTACAATCCATTAATGAGATTTACAAACTTGAAATTATTAAAATATGAAGGAATATCTTTTATATATGAAGGATTAGCTTATTAAAATATGAAGGAATTTCTTATTAAAAGGAAATTACATGTAGTACGTAAAACGCAAATTACCAAATAGGTTTATTAAATAACACAAAGCACGCAAAAGCTCTTAACTGGTCTGTATCTTGATTAATACAAACTCTGCAAAGGACTGTCCTCTTAAAGAAGAGATGGCTTGGTGGAGAATTTATTCAAAGAAACTATCATCATGCATGTAGAAGAGTCGAAAAAACGCTATGCAGTCACCTTTTTTGTACTTACTGCTAATGGACATGGATACTTCCAAACTGAAGAGAAAATGAAAAGGGCTTAGAAGAATTTTACAATGTACAAGCCACACTAGGAGTACTTATTCTTATTTAAGTACGAAATATATTTAATTAATTTTAAATGCTTCAGCGAGCCCAGTATATTTTACGTGGTGGCTTCCAGCACTAGTTTCAAAACCTCTGTTTTATGTTTTCTTTATGCTCGTAAAATGTATATTCAAAAACATGCACGGCAGAAAATATTTACTCTGGTTTGTACGGCGAGATTCCATGAAAGTTGTGCCAAACGTTCCTGCGAAAATCTGAAGGAACTAACACCTCTTATATTAATAAACAATCAGTATTCAACCCAATTCGTTTTTGCGCTTCGTAAAAAGTGTTGCTAGGCCCTCCGAGTTTACCAGAAGCAATTTTTAGAATGCTTTGAGTATAAATTTCCCGCAGGCAACTGTTGCAATCTACTAATTGTCGGGCATATTGAACTGACCATATCGCATCTTCTAATACATACTTTTTATGATAGGATCGAATAACTTTGAAAATACTCCACTTCTTGATGTTCTGTAAGAAACAGGTCCCAAATTTTAATCATTTCTTTCAAAATGCCATAAAATAGAAACACAATGGTTAATTTACATCCTTATTTATAAAAACAAAAGCTGGCTAATCAGGAATCAATATAGGTTACGTTAAACGAAAGCGCAGATGATAGGAATATGGTGGTATGTCCCAATATAGCCACAACTGGTACTAAGTCGCGCTGCTTGATGAGTATGCTCTGCTTGATGAATGCTTAAGTCGACGGCATAATACGCAATTACCAAATAATTTTAACTTCAATATATAATAAATTAAGAAAGTGTTAGGAAATTCACAGAAAATTCATAAGATATTTTAAATAATACAATAACATTAAAAATAAAAGACTTTCCTGAAGAATTCTTGCTTATACATGTTAGATTATAGCGCAGTTTACTAAAGTATAGAGCAAAAAAAAGGATATTCCTTCATCGAAATTTAAGATTTTACAATATACCTGCCGATGGATAATTTTTGTTTTACTTTATTAATAAGAGTAGAACAATAAATTAAAAATCAAAGAAAAACAACAAGCAGAAAAAAGGCAACAAGCAGATCCAAGCCATAGGCCCAAACATGTAGGAATGTAATGCAATAGTAAGCTTGCACTGTTTATAAATATTAACCCAAAGCATGCAATTCGTGAAAATTTAAGAATTGCAGCAATTAGTGAATAAAAAATTACGTCATCAAGCTGTTCTGACTTCAACGGTATGCAGACCCTCTTGTATGGAATTTCACGGAATGTCGCGGTTTTCGTTATTTTTTTTTTCGACATTGCAGATCAAAAAACGAAACTAACCATTAAATTTGCACCCTTCCTAAATTTTTTGCCGTAAACCGCAATAAAATCGGATAGTTTTAACAGAACTACAGCCAAATGAAATAGGTCACTTCTAAAAAAAAATCCCCCTGTAGTTTTAACATTATTTTATTTTGAAAGAAAATTTATTCATGAAAAATATTTTTAAGGAAATAATTGCATGAAAAGGTTTTTTAGCCATTTAAATAGCTTTGCATAGCATTTTCACACCAAAATGCAGCATTTAGAAACTATTGTTGCCCTTGACCTTTGCGGAAATCAGAGACGAATTTATAGAGCTAGTTACGCAAGCTGCAATCGCAAGAGACTCCACGTCCCATGGGCTCCCAAAATAATTTCGGGATTGAATGAAATAACTTGGGAAAATGGAGATTTTGGAAAGCCGATTTCGAACTTGAAAGAAAACCATTTTTCATATATTTTACGCGTGAAAGAAGCAAGTTAAAGCACTACTGTAATCAGCGCTTTCACCAACAACAGGCGGTATTAAACACTCGGCCATTAAATAGAGAGCCAACAAATAGAGAGAATAATATGGCAGGCCATTTACTCGCAGATTGTCTAGATAATCCATATGGTGCCCATAATTTGGTAATGATTCCGGTACATAAAATCATGTTGCGGTATGAATTCGTGTAATCATTAAATATTCCTTCGGTCATTTTTTCAAAATCTCTTTTGCTCTTGAAAGATGGGCAAAACTATCAACAAGGCTAAAAAATTTTAAATATCATTACTTGCATATTCATTGAACTCTAATTACAGTATACAAGAGCCTTT